AATCAGATTAACTGTTTTTCTTTCACCAGACCTCTCACCTGATCTGTTTCAGGTTAAAATCAAGTGATGCTCATTAGCAGGACTCTCTCTTTGCCCAAATCTGTGCCACCAGCAACATTCAATATTGCACATTTTTCAATTTTTTACATTTTTTCAATTTTGAAATATGTACCTGACAATTATTCCATGTATTCAAGGTCCACATGTGATGCTTTGGTAAATATTCCTGTGTTCACCTTGCATAATGATGACCATAGTCACTCTGTTAAGAACTCATCACTGATATGCTGCCTGGGACACATCCAGCCATATTCATTATCTCATTTAAAGTTCAGTGCTTTGACAAGGGTCTTCCATTCCCCACCATGGCACAGGTCCACATGGCCATGCTCTGTTCCCCTCAGGTTGAATTTTGTGTACATTTTGTATATTCCGTGGTAAGTGGTCAACCTGAGCTTCCAGAAGTCAGTTAAAGGCCATGGTCATGAATGCTAGAGTGTTAGTTCAGGACTTCCCCTTCCTCCCTAAGTAACATGGAAGCATAAACTGAGCCTCTAAGAAACAAACCAAGATACCTGCCTCCAGAGTCCATGATGTAAAGCCCTAAGTGTCCCAAAGAGCACCCACAGACAAGGTCAGGTTTTAGCAAAACCCCAGGAACCATACAGAGAAATTTAAACTCTCACACGTTTGCAGGTTGGAGCGCAAAATCACACAGCAGCTCAGGGAAGGTTCTGGCAGATTCTCATGAAGGTAACCAGACAAGCACCTTATGATCTGTGTCCCCACATCCAGGTACATGCTGGAGAGTAATGAATGCATGTGCACACAGAAGCAGGTACTAAAACCTCAAGCAGCATTATTAATAGTACCTAAAAACTGGGATCAGTACTGTTACTTGGATATTATGCAAACATATTTTAATCCATTCACAAGATGAATTACAATTTGACATTTAAAACATGAAACTCTGACACATTCAACCAGAATAGGACCATCAGAGAAGCCGAGGTGGGTGACAGAATCAGGGTTTGAGAAGACTGTACCCTATCATGTGTAGGGTTCTTGACAGGTCAACTAGCCTGTGCCCACGAAAATCCCAGTTTTTGGTGTTAGGAGGGGGAAGGCTACCTGGACGGGGAGGAAAGACAGTCTGGAGAGGGACATTTTGCTTCCCTTGGGCTGCGGTATGTGTATGATGTAAACCTAGAAGAGAGTCAGTACCTGCTCCCTGGAGGTCCTGGCATCGAGTGCTGGCCACTGTCCTGCAAGGTGGCTGCTCATTGTCCTTGCTCCCTATGGTTCATGCCCTAATGTCCAGGTGCTGCTGCCTTCATTGAGTTAGGGCTGACCCTCAAGTGGTGGAGATAACAGTGTGCACATCCATGGTTCATCCTCAAGGGCAGTTCCAAATGAGTCTCCAGGTTCACCTGGAGTCCCTACCAGTGCTCATGCTTTAGGAAGCCAGCACTACACCATGAGTACACTCACATGGCCCTGTGGAGGAGCCAGGGAATCTGAGTCTCCTGCTCAAAGCCTTGTGGACCAGGAGCCTTGAAGTGAGATTTCCAGCCCCACTGAGCCAACCTGAAACTGTAAATTTGGGAAAGATCCAGAGATGAAGCCTCTGACCAAGGCCCGAATCTCTGAGCTGCAGTGGGGAAACCATGGATGGGCTATGCCCGTGGCTCTCTCACCAAACTCAGCCTGAGGGGTGCTCCTACCTGGATGGGAAGGGTGCACAGTGTCTGTGAGTTGTATGTCAGAAGCATTGAAAATATCAATGACCTACAATCCGTAGGTTTGTTCCTTAAAGTGCAATGAGTAAAAACTCCAAAATACATCTGTGTAGTGTAGGCTTAGAAAAAATGGGAAACTATATTAAAGGTAATAAAACCTGGGTTCCTCATATTTGGAAAAATTAGCTAAAAATAGGAACGGGAAGGAGAAGTATGCTTTTATATTATGGATCAAATTAGAAGAAAATATCTATATTTATATGTGTATATATGTATATATAATACCAGTCTATGTAAATTATTTATTAAATTTACTACTCATCTATAAATACATGATAGGTATAATATGATGATAGGTAATGTATAATATACTGCATATTATACATTGTATGTATATTGCATATTCCATGGTATATTTTAAGTCATAAATTATTACTATGCTATGTATTGTCTGTGAATATACGTCCTTCTTTACATAAAGATAACAATAAATTATCAATGGAACTATTAAATATTCTCATCAATTTCTCACTAATATACTCAGGAATCATGAATATGGCTGTGTATTGTGAGTGCATATGCACACACCTGTCTGCTTAGAAGGCTTACAAGCTTTGAAAGCTCAAGAGCATTGAGCACACCAGTGAACAGAGGCAGATTTGTGAAATGTCTTCATTTAAAGGAAAAAGAGGTCTTTAGAGAAGAGGTGTTTTCCAGGAATGAGCAAGGCCATGTGTGGGCTGGGCTCTTGGGTCTCGTTACAAAGAAGGGAAGCTCTCAGACAGTGACATAGGAGGAAACTGAAGAGAGCTGGAGAGGTGCCTTCATGATCAAGTGTGGGACACACAGTGAAAATAACAAGATAAATACCCCATGGTCCTTCCTGACAAAGATTAATAATCAGTAATGTTTACTAATATTTGATAACTCATTATTAAAGATTAATAATGAGTAAAGCACCCTACACCACATGAGAGCAAACTCCTCCATACAATAGAACATGAGCAGACAAATAGGGTAGGATCTAGAACTGTCACATGGAGCAATGTGCTCACAAGGTCTCAGATCATCCCCTACTATTGTGTCACACCTGTCCATAATGCATAGGTCTTCTGGACATCAGCTAGACCCACTGACCTCAGCACCCTTGGCTGATGGGAGGACACTATGGTGGCATGCCCCTGATACAGAGCACTGGAGCCTGCAGTCTCTGCTGTGGCCCCAACAAGAGGCCTCATTCTGGTTTAATCTCCAGGAA